TTTTTTGTATACCTGGCTTCTAACCTAGAGTCTGGCATCTATATATTTGCTAGATAAATAACTTGTATTCAGAAGTTCATTTATTTGGCTTCTAATATTTATGTATATTTAAATCATTCAACAAATATATCAGTCACTGTGGTAATAAACTTACTACCAAGGTTTGTTCCCGGGGAGTGTGAATTGAGGTGAAGATGTTATGAAAAAGAAGGGTAATGTAGGAAGTGTAGGTTTATATTCTAGATTCTCAGTATCATTCATGGACTGTCTAGTGATCCCCTTCTGTGGGACACATTTATGCTGCTTGGTGTTCTCAGCTCCTCAGGTCTTGGCAGTATCTGTGGTAGCACTGCTTTATTCTCCTCTGATGTTGGGGACACTGACCTATTTACGTTCATTATATTGACATTGGAGCATGGACTGGAGTCCTGAAGACTTCATTTGAATCCTAGCTCTGCCATTTCTGGGGATGTGATCTTGAGCATGTTACTCATGAATCTCCTTTCCTCATCTGAAAAATGGAGAAAATATGTGTCTCACACCGGGTTGTAAGGATTAAGTTATGTACAGAAAATACCAGTGGTTTCTAGAATGTAATAGATGTTTCTTATTAGGTGAAATTATTTAAAAATTTTTTTTTAAGATTTTATTTATTTTAGAGAGTGGGGAGGTGCAGAGGGAGAGAGAATCTCAGGCAGACTCCACGCGGAGCACAGCCCATCGTGGGGCTTGATTTCATGACCCTGAGATCATGACCTGAGCCGACATCAAGAGTCGGACACTTAACTGACTGAGCCACACAGGCTTCCCTGGGTGAAGTCATTTTAATTCATTCAGCTTTATTTCTGCAGAATCAAACCGAGCATTTGTTTGGCTTTGAGTAGAGGAGAACAAGTTGGAATTTAACAGTGGTGTTGTTTGCTGACTTCGGTTAAGTTTTATTCTGTTTCAGCTGATTTCTTTTTCCTCAGTAGAAAGTGCTCTTCTTGATTCAGAGAAAAGAAAGGAATGCTCAGGGTATAATGCTAAAAAGATTTATCACATCATGCTGCATTTAATACAAAGTGAGGGCACCGAGCAGAGGAAGTTTGTCTTAATTGTTATGTGGATGTCCAGCACCAAGAACAGGGTCTGACACATTACAGGCACTCCATATCATGTTTAATTGAACAAATGAATTCTGTTTCGATATCTAAGAAACATGTTTCTGGCTATGGAATACATGATATGCGCTGGTGCATTTTGGATATAGCTAACGTAGATGTCAATGATATGTTGGCAAAGGAGAACCATTTTGGCATTTTAGCAGTTGCCTTTGAAACCCTTATACCAGATTCATTATATGCACAGATCTTTTGTAACAGTTTGTGTATTTGAAAAGAAATTTAAGTCAGCTAATTTGAGTTAAAATGATCATTTGTGCTGAATTAACCTCGAAGGGAAACAATTGAGAAAGAAATGAAAAAGACTTTAGAACAGGTTATGGGGTTCAGAATTCTCAGCTATTCTAAGTTAGATTTCTAGTCCTTAAGTCACTGTGCCGAAAGGAGATAAAATTTTATGTGGGGAAATGGATCACTCTTGCTATATCCTCAACTCCTGTCTTTCCTTCTGCTGCTCTAGCTTGGCAAAACACCAAAGCCTAGAGCAATGTTCATCATTTCCCTCCTCCATTCCTTGGATGCATGGAGTATTGCAGGCTGCTAGGATTACAGTAGCACTTCCTGACAGCTGTGCCTCCCAGCCTTACCTCCATTCTATTTTCCACTGTCACCAGAATGATCTTTCTGTAATGAATCTGATTGTGTTAGGCTTCTCCTTGAGAATCCCCTGTGCGCTTCTCATGGTTTTCAGGATAAAAATGTAAATTGCTTCGTTTGGAAAACGACTCTTAGAGATCTGGCCTCTTCTTTCCAGTCTCTTAACCTGATCTCTTTTTTTCCCGTATATTCTTTGTATTCCAGACATATGAACTAGTGGCATTTCTTTGAATGTTCGTTTTCTTTTCATGCCACTGAACATATGATGTTTCTTTTTCCAGGCATGCAGTTCTCTCCTTCCCTGTAGTCATCAACTATAGGTCATTTAAAACTTCCCAAGGTTACCTCTAGAAAACATCTGACTTTTCTTTCCCAGTCTGTATTGGTGCCCTTCCTCCATGCTCTCCTTGTACCCTACAAGTAGTGTTTTCAGTGGTCCCTAAGCTAATGTAGTAGTCCACATGCTTCCCTTCTCACTAGTCTGTGAGCTTTCTTTGAGTACAGGATACTCGTATTAGGCCTTTAATTCCTCATGCCTGTCACTGGTTTGCACAGTATAGAAGCCTAGAAGTTTATGATTTAGTTAGTTTATGAAGTAACAGAATTTATCAGAGACACAAAATTGCCTAGCTAAGTCCTGGGTATTATGATTGTGAGAAATAGACATGGTTTCTGCCTTGTTCATAAGCTCAGTTGTGTGGGCAAAATGACCCATGAAGCAGTTAGAGATTAATAAAGTACAACATCAAATGAGGACTTAGGTTGAATGATTTGAGAATAAAGTATAATCAAATTTCAAATTCCTTGGCATTTCATATCTGTTCTTTATTCTTTTCCTTAATACTTAACCACTAACATGCTCTGCCTTTTACTTTTTTATCTTGTTATACTCACCTTCCCCACTATGCGGCAAGTTTCATGAGGAATTTTTTTTTTAAAGATTTTTATTTATTTATTTGACAGAGAGAGACACAGCGAGAGAGGGAACACAAGCAGGGGGAGTGGGAGAGGGAAAAGCAAGGCTTCCCGTGGAGCAGGGAGCCTGATGCGGGGCTCCATCGCACGACCCTGGGATCATGACGTGAGCCGAAGGCAGATGCTTAACGACTGAGCCACCCAGGCGCCCCTCATGAGGAATTTTTACTTCTTTTTTCACTATGGTATTTCCAGTGCCTGACACATGGTAGGTAGTTAATAGACATTTGTCGAATGGATGGAATAGTGTTCAGGGAAGGAACTAATCCCTAGAAGATAGTACAGATATAATACAGAAACACTTCCTGGAGAAGTTACATCCTAAAACAGACCTTGAAAGGTAGTGTTTTATTAAATAAGTTAATTTAAGTAAAAAAATACCAATTTTATTTTTACGTGAATTTTTTTCAGATCATATGTTCCTCCTAAGTTTCTTTTAAAGCTTTATAAGGTTTTTAGAGTCCTCCTCATTCACTTTTAGAGTTTGACAGGGTTGACAACAAAGCCTATTTAATCAGTGAGTGATGCTAACTAACCCTTGTATACTTGTTGCAGTAACACTGTCACTTCATATATTTATTAGCAAAATAAAATATGTAAAAAAAAATAGGTCTGCTGGAGGCAATAACACATTGTATTCAGATCCTCTTTATTCCATATGGTAGGATACCTGGTTGCTTATCTTTTACTTCACATCCATTCAAAATAAGTACAAATGAGTTTGAACTTGTAGGCATATCAGGGTTCTGGTTCTTTTGTGAAGTAGGGATCATAATTGACCATTGTGCCTGCAAGTTCTTAGATTTTAGCAAACCTTGATCAGAGTTTTAAATACACACACACACACCCGCACACACACATACACACACGTCACATACCTTAGGATTTCAGTTCCCTTTTTTAAAGTTTCCTTTTCTGTTTGCTTCTCTTCCAAGACTAAAGAAATTAAAATTAGATTTTGAATTAAAACTATTAAAAATGTTAACTCCTCCAAATGAGTTACAACTGGAACGTGGATGTAATACAGATTTGCATTATTCTTTTACCAAAAAAAATATTATTAATTGGTTTCTAGTAGTGGCTTCTTGCAGTTTTTTCCCTAAGCACAGAATCAGATTATTTCTTAGGCCATTATAGCTGCAGTAGATCTTAGTAAACATCTAGACTACTTTATTTTACAGGTGTGGTAACTAAGACACAAAGACAAGTGATTTGTACAAAATCAGACAGTTAATTTATAAAAGGCCAGAATGATAAACTAAATTTTTAACTATTGTTGGGAAGACCAAACTGTGGCTAACCCTTCTATTATGCTAGTAACCACTTTAAACTTTTAGGCCATTTCTAATTCTAGAAATATATGTGGATCTGATGATATTTTAAAAGGGTATTTTAGTGACCTGGCAAAATAGTAGAAGTAAGTCCTTGGACTTTGTCAGTCTGCCAGTCAGCCAGATTGGGCGTGAATGAAGTTTTGGCAGTAGGTTTTCATTTTAGTGTATGGGCTGTTTATTATTTGAGTCAACAAGTAACTTTTACTAATCGATTTTAAACTTTGAAAAGCCTTAAATTGTCTCTAAATTGTTAGATTGTTAGATTCCCATTTTCCATAGGAAGAGGTTTAACCAATACATATATATTAAAGAAAACATGAGGAATAAGATTTTTAAAAATTCAGTCTTTTTTCCCCCCAGTTTTTCCGTGTTAAATTTAGGAAGTGATGTATTTTAAAAGGTATTCATATGGGTGGACTCTGATTCTTAAATATAAAAGTGAAAAAAAAGTTTCTAAGTATGTGACTCTTCTGTATATCCTTTTCTTGTATTCTCTGCTATATTTTCTTGGATTCACATTTTAATTAAACTGAATTCTTCAGAAATAGCACCTTGTATTCTGTGATTTCTAGGTTTGTTTTTTTTTTTTCTTTTTTTTTTTTTAAGGAGGGGTTTCTATGTTTTAGGGGGAAATAATTAGTAAATATAATGGTTGGATAAGAAGAAAGTGGTTCAAGATGTGGAAGAATATAGACAACCTGAAGTCAGTACTGGTGGTAGTTGCCTAATATCCATTAAATTGAATTATTTATTTTTAGTGAGTTGTGTTCATGTATTATACTTTCGATGACTCTACTAGACTTGTAAAAACTTGTTGGTATGACTTAGTCTGAAATTTAATATGTTGTTTTTCTTTTAAAGTATATTCTCTTAACTATATAGTCTATGTTTTGGTATTGTGAGTTAGTGATTGCCCTTTATTCTCTTTCAGATCCCTGCCTATCACTGAGCCCACCATGCTTCACAGAAGAAGATAGATACAGTCTGGAAGCTCTTCAAACAATACATAAACAAATGGATGATGACAAAGATGGTGGAATTGAAGTAGATGAAAGTGATGAAGTAGGTGGAAAGCTTTCCCTATTATTCTCTTAAATTTTCCCATTATTCATCATGTGACTCAGCTTCATCTTCAGTATCTTTAGTTTTTCTCTTTGCATTCTAATTTTCCCTTTGTATTTACACCTTTTTTCTTTTTTCCTCATGCACATATACAAGTCTTCCCAGTTTTATAAGAATGCTCAGTCTCATGTTCTTGCATTTCTCAAACATACATCCTTTTCTGACTATGTCAGTTTTTATCTATTGCTGCTTTACAAACCACCACAAAGCTTAGTGGCTTAGGACAACGGTTTATCATTTCTCCTGATCCTCTGGGTTGACTGGGCTCAGCTGGGTACGTTTTCTGTTCCCTTTGGTATGGGCTGAGGTCACTGTGGTTGCATTCAGCTGGGAGCTCTGCTGGGGCTGAAATGATGACCTCTTAGCCTTCGCAGTCTCTCTCCACACGGTCTCTCATCATTCAGAATCTAGCTCAGGCTTCCTTACAGCATGGCAGCTGGCTTTCAGGGGACAGTGTTCCAAGAAAACAAGTTCCCGTGTGAAAGTGCTTATCATGCCTCTGCTTGCCTTGATGGTGCCTGTTAATATCAAATTGGCTTAAAGCAAGTTATTTGGCTAAGCTCACAGTCTGTGTGGGAGAGGATTATACAAGGGCATGAATGCCAGGAGTTGTGGTTTATTGGGGGTCACTGATGTAATGATCTACCGTACCCACTGTACAAATAAATCATGTTTTCTTTCTTAAGCATTATCATCTTCCTCCTGGCATCACTCTGGCAGCCCTCTTAGTTTCTCCATAGAAGTTGTTTTCTTTATTTGGTTGGAGTCTTACTCTAGCCAAGTCCCCTGGTTGTTTTTCAGGCCTCTTCAATCTCTTTCTTATATTTGTCATGATTGAGATGCTTCCTTTTAGTTTATACGATACTAAATTACATTTTTTCTGCATTATCATCTAATGTTATATAACAGTGACATTCTCTAATCACATTGTTACCTAATAGTAACATTCTCTAAAGATTAATTCTTGACTTGCTCTGTAACACATTTACCTTGCTAATGCTCATCCTTTTCTAGGCTACACTTGATTCCTCATCTCTAAGCCAATGTCGATTCCTGACCTACATATATTGCTTTATGCCTGACATCTTTTGAGGGCTCGCTCTTTTGCTTTGAAGTTAGTTTGTCTAAAACAGAATCCTAGCTCTCCTCTTTGAAACCCCTCACTGTTCAGTGGCCCTTCTGGACCTACTTCTCCTTAGTTTTAATTCTTCCAAATCAGGTGTTGGCAGACTTTTTTTTGTAAGGGCCCAAGTTACGGGTTGAAATGTGTCCCCCACAAAAAAACATATTTTGAAGTCTTAACTTCCAGTACCTCAGAATGTGACCTTATTTGGAAGTAGGGTAATTTCAGATATACTTAGTTATGACAGGGATATACTGGAGTAGTGTGGGCCCTTAGTCCAATATGACTGGTGTCTGTATAAGAGAGGAGTGCACCACATGGTGACACAGACACTGGGGAAAAGATGACCCTATGACAGTGGAGGCAGAGATTGGAGTTATGGAGCCATAAGTCAAGGAATGACAAGGATTGCTGGTGACTCCAGAAGCTAAGAGAAGGCATGGAACAGATTTCTTTGTTTTTATAGAGCTCAGTTTCCTCAGTGGTCAGGACTGAAAGTCCCATCCCTCTAATTGCCTGGTCTTTCTGCTAACCAGCCCCATTCCAAGTGATCTAGAGGCCCCATTCTAAGTCCTCTCTCAGCATGAATTCAGGTGTTATCAAAAGGGGCAAAATACACTCATATCACTCAGGAAATTCCAAGAGTTTTAAGAGCTCTGTGCCAGGAACCAAGGACAAAGACCAAATATATTTCTTATTATATCACAATTACAGAAACATTTAAATCTGAAAAGAATAGCAAAAATTCACATTTTTCAATCATTAAAAATACCCTCCAAGGAAAGATCTGTTAAACTTGCATATAATATATAGACAGAGAGGGATTAACTAAGCTTACGCAGGTATTTGACAGCCTATTTAAATGTATCTGATTGCATATTTTCTCGAATTACAAGTTATTTTATTTTATTTTATTTTTTATTTTTATTTATTTATTTTTTTAAGATTTTATTTATTTATTTGAGAGAGAGAGAATGAGAGACAGAGAGCATGAGAGGGAGGAGGGTCAGAGGGAGAAGCAGACTCCCTGCCGAGCAGGGAGCCCGATGCGGGACTCGATCCCGAGACTCCAGGATCATGACCTGAGCCGAAGGCAGTCGCTTAACCAACTGAGCCACCCAGGCGCCCGAATTACAAGTTATTTTAATCTTTTTAACCTCATCATCAGATATTAAATGCTCAAATGTGTGAAGTGTTATCATTTATCACTGTGCCAAACAAAGTAAGCATGCATGGCTATATAATTTATACTTCAGTGGAATTCATCTTGAGTCTTTTAAATTTCAGTGGAATTCCAAACACTTTGTAATAAAGGTTAGAATTAAAAACTTTATGTTAAAATGTAAAGCTTATCTTAAAAGATCTTAAAACTCTGTATGATAGGTGAGCTTTAATGTTTAGAAGCAGATGTTATTCTTCTCTTGGTGTTTCTTCTAATATTAATATTCAAAAGCAAATAAGGTATGCGTCTACATTTTGTTAGCACCTTACAGAACCTAGAAATTCACAGTCCAGTATGGTAGCTACTAGCTGCATTTGGCTGTTGGGCACTTAAAATTGAGATGTGTTATAAGTGTAAAATGCACTTCAAATTTTGAATATGAGAAAAATAATGTAAAACATAAACTTTAAAATATTACCTGTTGGAAATGATAATATTATGGGCATATCGGATTACATAAAATGTAATATAAAACTAACACCATGTGTTTCTTTTCACTTTTTAATGTAACTTCTTGAAAACTTAACATCACATGTGTAGATTAATTAACTTGTATTGGAAGCACTGATCTAGAGAGTGGTGTGTGTCGTAGACTTTAAGGAATGAGTTGTTAGTTCCGTGGTTCTTGGACTGTTTCGGGGCCTCCTGATCAGCATAGCTACATCTTGATTTATATTTCTTGTTGAAGTGTCTCTTTTCTAAAGAAGTAAATGGTAATATTAGTATGACTAGCAGTCATCATTAGGAAACTTAATGAGTTTAATAGGAAACCTTAGTCAAAAAAATAAAATACTTAATTTCTTGTGGTTTTGGTTTAAAATGTTAACTTTTTTAAAATTTAGAAAAATATTTAGCATTTGAAAATGCTACTTGAAAACTTAATTTTTTTTCTCTTTAGTGCTTTTGCTTTTGTTTTTTGTTTTTGGTCGTATGAGTAAATGCTTTCTCACAAAACAGACAGAATCGCACATAAATCTTCCAGCCCTTAAGTGGACATTTTGTTGTATGCTTGTGAAAAGGCAGACTAAACAAAAAACGAAATAAGCAGGAAAAAGGGGGATGAGGACAGGTAGATGATGGGTAGCTGTAATTTTAAATAGGGTTCTCTCGGCAGGCCTCATTGGGAAGGTAACATTTAAAGTGTATACTATATGCAGTACTTAGACAAGTAAGAGAGTAAGTATGTGGCAGTTTTTTGGAGCTGTTCTCAAATTGAAAATAGAGGACATGAGTGTTGTAGATTAGGAACAGGATGAAAAGCTTTTGCTCTCCAGGTCATTGTCTTCTGGCCCAAGATCAAAAAGATTAGGTGTCATTGTATGCTCAATCTGTGACCTGTTTAGATTGAGTTTTTGATTACAGTCAAGTTTGTCTATTCTCCCAATATTGAAGATGTTTTGGAAAGTGTAGGTATTTGATTAAGAAATACTTTTTTAAATAAGAGAAATGAATGGTTTTGTTGCCTTGAACACAGGTTAGGAAGCAGTGAGAATTCACATTGTTATTGCCTGCTTTGTGACTGAAACCTTTATTATAGTTTCCAGCGTGCATGAACTTTGGTTTTACTTTTCCTCTTTTTAAAAAAATTTTTTTTTAAATCCTTTTTTTCCCCTAATTTTTCTTCCTTTTTATATCCATGCTTACCTTTTACTGATGTCATTTGGAATAAATAATTTTAGAATTTATGTTCTTATCAGTTGTTTCATTTTTATAATTAACTTTAAAACCAGTTTATATAAAAAAAACTTGTACCTGGTATTTCAGTTTTTCTTACATTTAGCTATTCTGCCTGAAAAGCACCTCTGTCATCATATGTCTCTATACTTCTTAGAAAACTTAGTTAACAGCACAGATGTATGTGTGTCTGAAACAAGGAGAGTCACTATGAAAGTAGGCAAAAGTAGGGTTAGAAAAACCTACTAGAAAATACATTTTAAAATAGGATCAGTAAGTTTTGAATTACGTGGAGTACTGTTTCCAAAGGAATAAATGCATGTATATTTTTACTGAAAATTTTAAGTTAAATTTTTCACTTATGTAGTATTTTTTGCTATGTAACAAATTCCCCCTACCCACTCCCCAAATTTGGTGGCTTACAACAATGTATGTTTATCATCTCACAGTTTCTTTGGGTCCGAAATCTAGGGGTAGCTTATCAGGGTCTTCTGGCTGTGGGTCTTTCATTAAGCTGCTCTTAAAATGTCAGCTGGTATTGTGTCCTCTTAAGGCCTGATGCATGGTGGATCTACTTCGGGGCCTACTCATGTGGCTCTTGGCTCCACAGTTCTTCACTGGTTCTTGGTTGGAGTTAACAGTTAACTGCCACGTGGCTCTCTCCATAGGGCAGCTCGTAATGTGGCAGTGGGCTTCCCTCAGAGAGAGTGGGAGGGAGCTCTGAGAGAGAGAGAGCAAGAGAAGGGCAACAAGATTGTAAGCTAATCTTGGAATTGGAATCCCTTTACTCTTTGGCTAAATTCTGTTTGTTAGAAGGGAGTCAGTAGGTCCAGCTGATACTCAAGGGGAGGCTGTTAGACAAGGTATGGATGTGAGGATGTTGGGGTCATTGGGGGCCATTTTAGAGGCTGATTAGCACAG